ACCGCTACCAGCATGAAAAGAAGAGATCAGCCAAAAAGCCCCCCAATCCACCCCCACCCTCTTCTTCTCTTGCTGTGTACGACAACCCACCAAGCCAACGCTCCAGACTGACCCACCTAACCTCCCTCTCGTAGAATTGAGCGGTGGGTGGATGGGCTACCCACCCGCCCGGACCCCTTTATAGGGCCTATGATGCGGATTTTGGGCACGGTGGTTGGGTATATGGGAGGTTGTGACAATTGATAAGGCGATGGTGGGGGATTAATTCCCCCCCGACCCCCGACCCGTTTGTCCATTTGATGGGAGAGAAGAGAAGGGGAAGGAATGGCGGAGTCGATAGAAGGTTAGAAGACAAGGAGTAAGTGTCAGCACAAGTAGGTGGAAAAAAGAGAGAGAAAAAGAAAAAGAGACGAGTTCAAACGAGAGAATGTGTGAGTAGTGTCAGCTTTAGTCAACAGTTCTAAGAGTTCAGGTCCCCAATGAAAGAAAGAGAGAACGAGGAATGATGTTTATTGTGTTGTTTGATATGTAGTTTTTAAATGAAAATGTTAGTATTGAGGGAGGGATTGTTTTGTATAAGTTGTAATAAGAATGTAGTTGTCCATTAAGATAAGAAGAAATTTAAAGGAGGGAAAGAAACAAGAGAAATGAAAGGGAGAAAGGTGTGAGAAAAGGGAAGGAAAAAAGAAAGGAGGGAATAGAAAGAAAAGGAGAAAAAGAAAGGAAAAGAGCAAATGTATATGAGGAAAAGTAAGTGAGGAAAGGAAGAAAAGAAAAGATTCATGAGGGAAATGGAGGAAGGAAAGAATAAGCTGCAAAGAGTGTTGCCATGGAGACATTATGAGGTAGGCCTTCTCAGAGCTGGAGAAGGGAGAAAGCAGGCAGGGAGCAACCCTTCTGACACCCAGGCAATGCTAGATATATGCACTAGTAAGTAATTAAAATTCGCAGGTGCAAAAATCACCATCTTCCCAAGAAGAAAGCTATTTTGTTCATCTACATTTATCCTATTTATGATGGCAGAAGCTAAACAAAAAGTCTGATTGGAAGTTAAGTCTTTGAAATGGTGAAAAAGAAAATCAGAGTTAAAGAAAAGAAGAAGTTGGAGAGCGACAAGAAGAAAACGAAACGAATCTTTTAGGTGAAGCCTGAGACAACGGAAGCCTACAGTAAGGGGTGAAGTGCGTAACGATAAAAACTAGCACAAGAAAAAAAAGAAGAGCAAGGAGAAGCCAGCCGAAATTGAAAAAATGAAAAGCTGAAATTATGAAAGTGGGAGTGTAGTAACAAGGGAGGGATAAAGAAATAGTAGTTCAGTACACCAGTACGTTGAAGGGCACAGAGTCAAGAAAATGAAGCCTTGCCAGTTTAGTACAATGTAGGAGTGATTAATCTTTCTTGTTAGTTTGCTGCCTGAAAGTGAGGAGAAAAGAGCGCCACAGGCAAAGCCCGCACCAGCAAGGACCCCACAGCACACACAAAGAGTAAGAAAAAGAAAGTAGCCAGAATAAAGGAGAAAAGACGAAAACAAGAAAGAAAAAGAACACAAAAAAAAAAGAAAAAAAAGCCGTTGGAAAATTGAAACAAACACGCCGATACCCCCCCCACCCTCCTCGGTCACCCCCACCACTGCCTGAGGTAGGCATCTCATGTGCCCAACAGTAAAGCCAGAGAAACCTTCAATGCAATACATGGAACAAAAGAAAGAGAGGAGAAAAGAAAAAAGAGTGAAGAAAGAGCAAATGCCCAACACAAAAACAACCCGACCCGAAGAGGAACATATGAGGGGTTAGGAAACCCCACCACATCCACCCCACACCCCACCCCCACTCCACCTCGCCCCCACAATTACACCGACTGCTAGCTGTGTGCTGAAGAAAGAAAGAAGAGGAACGGAACAAGAAAAGAATGAACCAAGAAAACACTAGAGCAAAGAAAAAGAAAACTAGGACAGCTAAGCTCCTCACACCTACAGAAAAAGGTCAAGAAATTTACAGGAAAAACAGACAAACAAAAAGACCAATAGGGCTCCTCACACCATCACAAAGCCACACATCAGAAAGGAAGAATGACCATAAAGAGAACGGGTCCCCCTCCCAACAGAAGACACACATCACACCGGACACCAACACAAGAGAACACAACCCACAAAGATACAAAAAGAAGAAACCCACACAAAAAGGAAAACCCATGTTAAGTGGAAGGACAAATATACCATACCCTGCCGCGACAAACCCAACACCCACCTCCCCCACCCCAAAAAGAAAAAAGGAAAAAGAACAAAGAATGAGATACATACAAAGATCCGTCCCTCTTAGAAGAAGGACGAGATTGAGAAAACGGAGAGAATACCTGAGAAGAAGCGTCGAGACGGTAGAAGAGACGAGAATCGCACTCCTCTCTACTCCATCTAAATTCCCCCCTCCTCTAAAAATCTCTCTACTCCTCAACCTCTTCCCTTACACCTTAAGGTCCTAAACCTCCTTCTCTCTCTCCTACTTCTCTACACCTAACAACTACTCTAAGTAACCTCTTCTAATAACCTCTACTCTCACCCTACACCTTACCCCCCAGCCCGAACAGCCGACAGACCCCAACCAAAAGACAAGTACATACATCTATTATTATCAATTATTATTATCTCTAAAAATCAAAACCAAATCAATCATCATTGCTAATTATATATACCCCCCCCAGTGCGACCAAATACAGCGTCCACCCACAGACCCCACCCCACCCAGGAGAGCCAGAGCAAAGACCCCAACCCCCAGCCGGCGACCAAGCGGCAAAAGAGAGGAAGGGGGGACCAAAAGAAAGGGGGGGAAAGTCAGAGAAAGCACTAGATCACCATAGGAACTGAGGGCCGGAACTCCACAGCCCGGACAACCCAAAAAGATAGGGAGTGGGAAAGGAAGAAAAAGGAGGGAAGGAAATGAAAAAAAAAGGAGAAAAAGGGGGGAAAGGAAGAGAAAAAGGGGGAGGAAGGAAAGAAAAACGGTGGGGTGGGAGGGGGGAAGGAAGGAAGGAGAAAAAAATGGGGAAGAGGGGAGTCCTACATGGAAAAGAGGAAAAGGGGAAAAAACGAAAGGGAAAAAAGAGAAAAAAAAAAACAAAAAAGAAAAGAAAGAAAGAAAGAAAGAAAAAAAAAAGGAAGGAAGAAAAGACACAGAGGAGGGAAGGAGAAAAATCTATGGGGGGAAGGGTGTGGGGGAAACTAAACGGTGGATACCCACACCAAAAGCGAAAAAATGTAAAAAAAGGAAGTAATAAGAACAAAAAGCGGGAAAAGAAAAACCATGAAAATATTGTATTTGCACATGCAAATGTGAAAAACATTGAAACAGTCCTTTATCAAGCCAAAAGGTAGGAAGGAGAGGGGGAAAAAAGAAAAATAAACCAGGAAAAAAGGAATCTTTTATTTTAAGGGAGAGGGCAAGAAAAGAGGGGAAAGAGATAGAGAAAAAAGGAGAAGAAAAGAGGGAAAAAGGAAAAGGGGGGAAGGAAAGAAAAGGGAGGAGGAAGAGGAAGGAAAGGTGGGAAGGGCGCGGGGAAAAAACAAGGAAAGGACAAAAAAGAAAGAGAACACAAGGGAAAACAGAGGCGGCGAAAGTAACGAAGGAGGACAAAGGGGGAAAAAAAAGGGGAAGAAGCCCCCCCCGACCGGCGCCGCCGACGCACAACAACACCACAACTTGTGGGGAGGGGAACCATCACACAATCGTAGAGAAAAAAAGAAAAAAAAAAAAGAAGGAGGAGGAAAAGGGAGAAAGGAAAGGAAGGGGAAGGAAAAAAGGGAAAGAAAGAAAGGAAAAAAAGGGGAAGAAAAAGGAGAAGAGGAAAAGGAAAAAGAAGGGGAAAAAAAAAAAGAAGAAAGGGAAAAAAGAAAGGGAAAAGGGAAAAGAGGGGAAGAAGGCAAGAAGAAGGAAAGAAAGGAAAAAAAAACCTATCCTAGGAATCGTCAGGCAGAGTATTTTTTTATTTTTGGGGAGGAGTGAAAAACCAACTAGCCGGGTTGGTAAAACATGTAAACCACACACGAGAAAAAACCAAAATAAAAAAATTAAACTAATGATAAAGTATTATTTTGAGTAACAGTAAAATAAAATATAAAGCAGAGGCTGGAGAACACTCAACATCAACTAGGAGAAGAATTTCCAGCCATGATGGAAAGAGGAAGAAAGAGGAAAAAAGAGGAAAATACTACCACCACTCAAAGGGCTAAGACTATAACAAACAACAACTCCACCCCAACAAAAAGGACAGCCAGCAGAGTGGCAGGGTTTTGGAGTATTTGGCCTGTCAATTGAAGAAAATTAAATACTTCCCTACCTAAAGCCAGACAGACAAAGACGTTACATTTCTCCCAACCCTGGAACCATACACAGGGATGAGTAGAACACCCACAAATACTTTTCTTGAGGTTCTTAGGCGAGATGAAAGGAGAGAATTTGAGAGATTGCGTCTGGAACATGGCCTATCCAAAACAACGTAATTTTTGACAGGAAAAGACTGTCTACTATAGAGCTACGGAAAGAAAAGCCATATAGTAATCATGGGTATATTGATTTCTGGCCCGTCTAATTCCTCTGAGCAAAAGAAATTATACCCATGTAGTTCCAGAGTATCCTCTTTTCTCTTGGTGGTTGCTACGAGATTCGGGGAACCATTCTTAGTAATCTCTGCCACCACTATTTCTAACGTTGATCATTCATCACCCTCTCGTATAAAGTACAGGGAAAGGGAAGAAGGAGATGTTTCTTTTTAATCGAGGGATATCCCACGACAGCAAGACTGTGTGATATTGGAAGAACTTTGCGTTCATTCATTTTTTTATTGTTTTCTTGATTTGATTTCGCCCTCTCTCGTCCAACAGTAAATAACATGGTGTTCTGCAATCTTAACTTTTGGGGAAAGTGAGAATGATAAAGTCAATGTGGATGAGCGGAATTCCGCACAATATTGAATCACCTCAATGAGTAACAATTACTTGCATCGCTTACCCTGAATGTCATCGTTGAATGTACAATATTTGTTGCGGTATTTGTTGAGAAGTCGGAAGGCATTGGCATTTGCAAAGTCTTCGAACTGGATGAGGCAGTTCATCCCGTACCTGTGTGGTTAAAAAGAAAGAACCAGAATACTCAAGGCAAGAACTTCAAAGTGAACAAGGCAAGCTTGCTTTAATATTTATTTCCAGTATTTATATTCCGCTCTTCTCACCCCAAAAAGGACTCAGGGTGGATCACAATATACACACACACAGCAAACATTTTCTAGACATACAGATAGAGGTAGTTTTGGCATGTCCACTTTGGTGCCTGGAGGTTATGCTTGATTCTGGCCACAGGGGGAGCTGTTGCTTCATCTACTATGATGCCAGGTCATTTGATTGTATTTCCTCCTTGCTCTTTGACCACTGGCATTTTTATGGTGTCGTAAAATACCTCCCCACTTTAAGCGGTTCCTAATTTCTCTACTCACAGCTCTACTGTTTTCAAACTGCTTAGGTAAGCTAGGCTTAACAGTCGGGTGCTCAATCCAACTCAGACTTCAAACCTGTCACCTTCCGGTCAGCAGTGATCTATTGCAGTTGGAGATTAACCAGGTGTGCTACAGCCCAGCTTTCTGCTGTTCTAGAGACTAGGGTCCCATCTACACTGCCATATAGTTTGAACTGCATTATAACGGTCAGTGTAGACTCATATAATGCCGATTGAGTTGCATTGAAGTGGCTTACATAAGTCTACACTGCCATATAATCCAGTTCAATGCAGTTAATCTGCATTCTAAAACTGCACAGTAAACCATCTAGGACTTTAAGATCATCTGGGGAGGCCCTGCTAGCTGTCCTCCCACCATCGCAATCATGGTTGGCAGGGACAAGAGACAGGGCATTCTCTGTGGTGGCCCCTCGGCTAGGGAATTCCCTCCCAAGTGAAATCAGATCTGCTCCTTCCCTCCTGACCTTCCGGAAAAAGGTGAAATCCTGGCTGTGGGATCAGGCCTTTCCGGACTAGACCGGCGTGATGGTAGAGCTATGGTTTAATGGACTGTGATGGACTCGAATGGACTGTGTGTAGGATGACGATTTAATTCTGGTGATTGTTCTAATGATTTACTGTTTTTATGATGTTTTTATAATGTTTTATACTGTTTTTACCTAAGATGTATATCTATGCCTTTGTTGTCAGCCGCCCTGAGTCCCTCTGCAGAGGTCAAGATAGGATGGGACATAAATCTCTGAAATAAATAAATAAATAGATGGGGCCTTATACAGAGAACAATGGATTCAGACTGCATGCAAAGAGATTCCACCTAATCATGAGAAAGAGCTTCCTGGTGGTAAGAGCTGTTGGAAAGTGTGGTGAAGTCTCAAGTATTTAAACAGAGGTTGGATGGCCATCTGCTAGGATTGTGTCTTCTTGCACAGCGGCATGGGGTTGGGATGGATGGCCTTTGTGGTCTCTTCCAACTTGATGATTTCAGCATTTATGTGATTGTTGCCTACATTAAAAGGCGGAATAAAAATAATTTTGCATTTGAATAAGCAATGGGGAAAAGCATGTGGAACTCGTAAGTGGGCCATTAATATGTTTGGTGTCCAGGTAAAGTTAAACAAAGTGGAAATGCAGACAAAATGATTGCAGTATATGACAAATAAAAAACATCCCTCTTGACATCCCAGCATGGCAAGAAAATTTTCCATTCAATTGAGTTCAACTGTCTCTCACTGAGAAATATCATCTGTACAAGAGGGACACAACCAAAGTCTTTAAACCAGAAATTGACACCAGAAAATTTCTGCTTCCTTTACACACGGGCCATTAAAAGCTCCATTCATCACAGCTTTAAAAAGGTACCATTTTTTTGTCCTCCTGTCTCAGGTGGGGTTTTCTGTTGTTGGTATTTGTTAACCATTTTTCTTGGTGTGAAAAAGTGTCTGTCAACAGGAAGAAAATAGAAAAGGGATTTATGGCGTTCTCCATTTGGATACAGACGAATAACCGAGCCATGTTTCATCAGCTTCTCTGTTGTGAAGAAAATAGGACTCAACTCCTGTAGAAATATCACATCCTACTCATTTTTGCACTGGTTCATCTCATCATCTTTTTTCTGAGATCCTTACAAAGATCATGCCTTTGGCTGTTGTCAACAAAACACCATCAAGTTCCTGCACTGCATCATTTCACAAAGCATTGCTTAAATAACTACCATATATACTCGAATATAAACCGACCCAAATGTAAACCAAGGCACCTAATTTTATCAGAAAAAACTGGGAAAACGTATTGATTCAAAAATAAGCTGAGGGTGGGAAATGCAGCAACTACTGGTATATTTCAAACTAAAAATAGATGCCAATAAAATTACATTAACGGAGCCATCAGTAGGTTAAATGTTTTTGAATATTTACATAAAACTGTAATTTAAGATAAGACTGTCCAACTCTGATGAAATCATTATTCTTATCTTCTTCAATGTAAATGTGTTGACGTATCCTTCCAATAATAATAAAGAGTAAAATAATAAATGTAATGAAAAATAATAATAGAGTAAAATAATGGAAATGTTACAACAGTAATAACAGAGTAAAATAATAACTGTAATAATAATAAACTGTAATAATAATACATACTTATCTGAATGTATCTTTCTCTACGTTCCACCTCGTAATTTAAGATCTACTGGGGAGGCCCTGCTCTTGGTCCCACCAGCATCTCAAATGCATCTGGTGGGGACAAGGGACAGGGCCTTCTCGATGGTGACCCCCCCTGCTTATGGAATTCGCTCCTCAGCGAGATTAGATTGGCATCCTGCCTCCTTACTTTTAGGAAAAAACTAAAGATGTGGTTTTGGAGCCAGGCCTTTGGCTAGTAGGCACAACAGCACTTTAGGCACTGAACTTGGACAATAGGATTGTTTGAAAATTGGAAATGGCTTTATGACCTGTGATTATGTGATCTGTTCTATGTGGTTATGTAATTTTAATTAATATCACTGCTTAATTGTTATGTAATGGATTTTATTTTGCTGTTTTATATTGTTGTTTTGATACTGTTGGCATTGAATAGTTGCCTGTGTTAGCTGCCCTGAGTCCCCCCTCGGGGATGAGAAGGGCGGGGTAGAAATGGTCTAAATAAAAAAATAAAATAAATGTAATAATAAATAGAGTACAATGATGTAAATGTAATAATAATAATAATAATAGAGTAAAATAATAAATGTAATAAAAATAACAACAAAGTAAAATAATAAATAACATTGACTTGAGTATAAGCCGAGGGGAGCTTTTGCAACCTCAAAAAAAGGACTGAAATTTTTGGCTTATTTGCTTTGCTTTATTTGCTTTATTTCTATACCGCATTTTTCAGCCCAAACAGGCGACTCAATGCGGTTTACATGGTACAGGTTATCACAACAATGTCAGTGCAATTAAAAACGCAACATATACAACAACAAAATCAACAACAATTAACAAGAGCCCCCCCCCCCCCCCCCCCCCCCCCCCCCCCCCCCCCCCCCCCCCCCCCCCCCCCCCCCCCCCCTCAAGTATATACTCGAGTATATACGGTAGTTATGAGCTGGAACGATAGGGCCCAACATAAACTTGTACTCTTCTCTATTTTTATATTTATTCATTTAATTTATATGTTGCCTTTCTTTTTCTTAGAGCAGGACCCAAGGCTGCTTCCAAAAACAGAAACACCAAGTCCCAATCACTTGGGGAATCAAAGGTTGGGAACCATTGTCCTAGAGGCAGTTTTGGGAAACACAGGCCCCTTCCACACAGCTGAATAAAACCCCACATTTTCTGCTTCAAACGGGAATACAAAACAGTATGGACTCAGATAATCCTATTGTGGGATTTTCTGCCTTTATATTCTGGGTTATTTGGCTGTATGGAAGGACCCACAGAGGCAATTTACCCTAGTAACTCATGTATAAGTCTATTAGAAATGTTGGTTTAGGAGTTGACTTAATATATATAAATTAATATATATCCTGTACCTTACCTCTCATAAAAACGAAACTACCGAACTAAAGCAACAAGTGATATAGGCTCCAACTGTTGGCATTCAGCATGTGATTGTGTTTCAGGATCAGGGTGCTTTGGATGTGGGAAGTGATGCCAATGAATTTCAAGATGGCAATGGTTTGGTCAATGATACTGCTGCAGAGAAGGACCAAGAGACCCCTGTGCAAAGTATAGTTTCCCATGAGAATGTCCCTGAAAGATATGGGGATGTAGTGTACTCCCTGAATTGTTACCAGACAGTTCCCAGGATTTGGGGCTTGAAACAACTGAGCACCTGGCCCAGCTGCAAAACTTAATGAGCAAATAGATAGGTGAGAGGAAATTAGTCAAAACAGACAGGCCGAACAGTGCCTTCGGCGTTCTGCCAGGCTCCGACAGAAAAAGATAAGGGGATCTCAAATAAAGCAAAACCAATTCCTAAGTGCAGATCAAGTGTAGTTCTCTTCCTTGTTTTAAGGAAGCCTTGCTTGGAAGATTCTTGTCTAAGTATTTCTTCTTTCATGGTTTGGATTCTTGGATTGTATGAATGCCTACTTATGCATTGGATTAATGTTTCCTGTTTTCCTGAATTATATTTAGAGAAGTGTGGACTTTGTTTTTATGGACTTAGCTGAACGTTATCCTGTACTATTTTTGCTCCTGCTTATCTTCTTACCTAACTGATTTTGCCTATTTCTTTAAAGTGCATTTTACTTGCTGCTTTTTAATTATCTTCAATAAAAGGATTGTTTTCCAATCAACGGTGTGGCATTTACAGCCAGAGGGCTTCTCCTGTCCTGGAGTGCAACACCATCTACAGTGCCATATAATCCAGTATCTGATCCTAGATTATCTGATTTGAACTGGATTATATGGCAGTGCAGAGGGCTGCAGTGGCACATAACTTGCTGACTGGAAGGTGGATGGTTCAAAACCACGGGACAAGGTGAGCTCATGTTGTTAGCCCCAGCTTCTGCCAACCTAGCAGTTCAAAAACACGCAAATGTGAGTAGATCAATAGGTACCGCTCTGTCGGGAAGGAAACGGTGCTCCATGCAGTCACGCCAGCCACATGACCTTGCAGATGTCTACGG